TTTAGAATCTATTCAGGAGTAAAAACACAATGAACTCCAGGAGAACAAAGACAAATTGGGTATTTGCAACCAATATTACCGTTAATTACCTGATTTGCAAATATATAAATAAGAACTAGAAAGACCTCCAGTGACCTACACTTGCTTGCCATACCTCACTTAAAGAAAAAGAAAGACAGGATTATTGTCAACTCTGCTAACAACCAGGTGATTCCTGCTTACTGGACATTAAAACTTGTATATCTTCTGATTTTTAAAAGGAATAACACCTCAGGTATTAAAGTAAGTGACAGCACTATCCCTTTGTTTGTTGCAGATCTGATTTCATAAAACACACCTGGTTAAATATGTTATATCTCAGTATTCATCTGGCAATAAAGCAGTCATATTAATCAGATTTGGCCGTTCAACGAATAGGATTAGGTCATTTTAGTGTTGTTGAGGAATGTAGAGTTGGAACAGACAGGTATTCAGCATAGTTCTTATCTATAACAAGATTTAATGGAGATATGTGAAGTAATAAGTCCTTAGCTTGGGACTAGGCTTAGCATGTAAATGTAGCTTAGCTTGGATGTGCAAAGGCATTGTAATCTATAGGCATTGCATGCATTAGATTCAGACACATTCTAGATGAATATAGCCTTCCTTTGCTTCCCTTTTAAACAATGTTCACCTTAAGATGAATCTTAAGTGCTTCCATTGGTGGGAACGAGACCATTTTCTGTAAACAGACATACTGTAGGGAAGGAGTGTATTTTTCACACTGAAAATCCTTCCTTGTGAGATAAAGGCTGAATAACGGCTTTATGTAAATGATGTGTGAGTATCTTTTAACTGGAAATACTAGCTGAACACACTACTGGACTACAGAACATGCCACATTCGTGCATACACACGCTATGCCTTCAGGAAAACACTGCCACAATCAAAGACAGGGCACAGGAGAGGTTTTTTAAGACAAGTGTGTGTGTGTGTGTGTGTGTGTGTGTGTGTGTGTGTGTGTGTGTGTGTGTGTGTGTGTGTGTGTGTGTGTGTGTGTGTGTGTGTGTGTGTGTGTGTGTGTGTGTGTGTGTGTGTGAAAGACAGAGAGAGAAGAGATGAGAATGGTAGAAAAGACAAATGAATTTTGACAGAAAAAAGAATCAAGGAGAAAGAAAAAATGACAGAGAAGAAAGGGTACTGTGTGTGTGCGTGAGTGTGTGTGTGTGAATTGTAGAGCCTGAGCATAAATCTGTGGATGGCTTGGTTTTAACGAGTCTCCTAATGACCCAAACAACCCCTGCTGACATTTACAGTCCTTGCCAGAGGGGGGGGCGGGGGGTGAGTGACCTCACACACACCCACACACACATTTTCTGTCATAAGAATGACACATATTTGCTTTCTTCTTTTTTGGTTAAAGGCTATAATGACCACCACACACCCACGCTGTCTCTTTCTTTCTCACACACATATACACACGTACGCACACATGTACACAGACTCCTTTAATTTTTACATTCTCTCTTTTCATCTTCTTCTTTTACTGCCTCCCTTTCATAATCCGCCTCTGCCCATACAGACATAACATTCACTTAACTGCAGACTCCACGTAAGCCTGCCCTGTCTTACACACACAAAAATGAACACACACACACACACACACACACACACACACACACACACACACACACACACACACACACACACAGAATGTGTTGAATTTATATGTCTGCTGTTTCACAGAAAACTTCAGAGCAGAGGAGCCACATATTTCATCTGAGCTGAGGGGCACCGGCAGGGAGTGTGTGGTCAGTAAATACAGAGGGGAGAATAACTAACAGACACACACACATACACTCACACACAACCTCTGTTCTTTGTCATCAGTTTCTCAAATGGGTCAACTTAGCCTCTCAAAACTTTTTATTTTCCTTTCAAAGTTTGGAAATGCCACCAAAAGAAATAAACAACGCTGCGCCTTTACACAACATTATGTGGGACTTAATGGAAACACAGAATATCATCTTGTACACATGCACACTCACACAAGAACTCAAACAAATACAGAACAGGGGGTGACTTATTTAAGAGAATGTCTCCAAAACATGCCTACGATTGGCCGGTCATCAAATACTTAGATGACAGTTCAATAAACCAATCAAAAAGTTTTGTAATAGTAATAAGGCTTTCCAAATGGCAGCACACGTACTTTAAATGTGTATTTACACTAGTGCTGTAAACGTTCAAGGGCACCTGCTAATGTCTGACCCTGAGACTGACACACACAAACAGAAAACACAGACCTCAGTGACAACTTTGCCCAGCGCTGTGGCTGCCGAGGGGAAATTGTGCCATCTGCCAGTAAACGACATCATTTTATCACCACTGCTCGTCCATCTGTGGACGTGGGGAACTGCCCTGGAGGCCGTGGGGCCGCGGGGAGATGGGGGAGACGAGGGAGGCAGAGACAAGCCGGAGATGCCCACCAGGCACAGAAACTGCTGTATGTGGGCTTTACAGCCATCTTTATATCCTGACTATAAAGACAAAGCTACTGAACGATATACAAAGATAATGTGAATGCTAAAGCTTTTTGTTGTCAGAGTCAGACGATGAGATGACATATCAAGGGTTTCCAAGAAATGAATCTTATACAATTATTCCTTCTTGCCAAACTTGATGAGGAACATTTAGTTAAAGGTGTAAAATTAGATTTGCATTAGCTTTAATCTAATTCCTTTTAGATTAATTCTTCCCATTCTGTTTATTATGTATCCGTGGTCATACGGGAATCTCTATCACATCAAAGATGGACGACAAAATTAGGTTTCAAGCATCAGAGATCTAAAATACACCAGGAGACGTCTCTTATTGAAACATGGCCGTGCATCATGCATATTATCACCTGACCTCATCCTCTTCACATCAATGAATCATCACACCTTCACATGATAAACATTAGCAACTTGAAACAATATATATTTCAGAGCAGCATGCCCAGGCTGTATTGGCCGTGTCTGCATGCAGTGCAGGTAGACAGAAGATCACAGCCTAAACACCCGCCACCCCGAGGGGCTTAAAAAAAAAACACTGTGCTTTTTGGATGATGCTGAGCATGATTTGCTGCGAAGGCTCTCAGCAGGGAAGGCAATCAGGCAGAGAGAATCACAACACGTCTATTGTAGCGTTTTGGTTTTATATGAGGGAGGACAGGGGGGCACACAGAGGAGGAATTCACACACAGGTACAGAGCTGTCAGATCAGCCTAAAGCAGAGCTGAGAGTACATCTTTCTGGGCATAGCCAAGTCAAAACTGAAGACAAAATGCAACCCTTTCAAGACTATGTGATATTTAAACATTCCTTCCAAAGCTGGGTTAATTATGCTTCTTTTTTTCTCGCAAAGCCAATACCAAATCCTTACAATGCAGAAGCCGACAAGTGATTACAAGTCTTTTTTTTCTTGTTCTAGGTGTTTTCTAGGTTGAACTTGAGATATTTTTGCATGCAAGTCTCAGACTCTTCAGGTAGTTAAAGGTGGGGTAGGTAAATTTGAGAAACCGGCTCGAGATACACTTTTTGTTATATTCCATGGAATGCTCTTAACATCCCGATAGCAATGAATATCTGAAGTGCTTTGACAAAAAATCCATAAAAAAATGTCATCTGTGGAAGCCGTAGCGCTGTAAAAAGCACGACCAATCATTTTAGCCGGCCCGGCTAATATAACTGGATGGCCTACCTGCCTGTCAGCCTTCCATCTGTGCACAAACTTATCTCGTGCCCTCATTGGTCATGTGCGCGTTCGTGTGTGTTGGAGGAGGGGCTCTGTAAGGAAGTGGCATATTTGTTCCGGTTGTGTATTTTCAAATTCTAGCGCACTCGAGCTGGTTTCTCCAAAATCACCTACCCCACCTTTAAGTCAAATTAAGTCTAGCGTAACAGCAATTAGGTCAAAGTCAAATCCAAAGTCCCCAAATCTGCGTCTCAAGTCTTATTTATAGCCCTGATAGTAGTACTTGCTCATTCACACACACTTGCAAAAGACAGTTGAGTCTATCCATAAAGTGCCCGGCTCCTCGGGTTTCTTAATGCATTGTTAAGTGTGTCAAAGACTTAAAAAGAAAAAGGAACGAAGGGGATAGGGAAACACTTTGCTAATGCCTTAAAAAAAAGAAAAGAAAGGAGAAGATTACAAAGCTGTGTTAGTTTTTATGAACAATATGCGGAGATTAAAGCAAATACAGTCAAAGTTTGCTTTCGACTGATTTCTCCGGCTCGAGAACAAAGAGGGAAAATCGCACTAAGCTCAGCGAACCAAAAACAGTCCAATTAAATCCTCGTCGTAAGAAAAGAAGAGAAGAAGAAAGAAGACTGCGCTACATTCGTAAAAACAATAAATGTGCCTTTTGAAATGTCCCTATTTGAAGTGATGAACACATTTATGTTATCCCCCGTCTACGACTAAGTGCAAAGCGGACTTGAGAGGGGAATTCTTCTGAGCTGCGTTTTTTGTTGTTGTGCCACAAGAAAAGTGCCACTTTAAGTTTTATTTTCTTACTCGTGTGAGAGAAATGACGCTTGTTCTTTCTGAATAAAAGTTTAAAACACAACGATATTCAGCTCCCAGTGGTGTAAAACTGAGCAAAGCAGCAATCCTCACATTGCAGGGGCTTAAAACCGTCAATATTTGGCATTTCTGCTCGACAAATGATTAATCAACTAACTGATTTCAACACTGACAACAACCATGTTCTCAATGACAAGTGGTCAAATTCTTCAGATTTGTTGAACTCTTATAAAAGAAAGCCGGTGAACAGCTATGGCTTCAACACTTATTTGCTTCCTGAATGTACAGGCCAAAGCCGAATGTTGTGCCATTTTGTCCAGAAAGTTTGCTCAAATTGCTTCAAATAAAAGCAAGTGTTTTCTGGTGACGGTGTACTAATCATTGGATATCCCTAAAGACAATAACAGGTGTTTTTTCAGCAGTGGTGAGAAACTGATCTTGTGTCATACCTGTGGGCTGAGCGGTGGGCAGCCGGGCCGGAGCGACGCACAGAGGCAGGAGGCAGGAAATCCAGAGTGAGCACCACAGAGCCGTCATTCCTCTAGAGGACGAGGTGAGACGCAGAGCAGCGAGGCCCGACTCAGACAACATCCTCCAATCGCATGCTGTCCAGCAGAAGGGCAGCCTCCAACGCCGCAAGAAATGATCCAACGACTCCCCGTCACTGACCTGGAAAACAACAACATACATCATGATATTCTGGCTCGGATTTGTCCAAGGTTGTACTTGCAAATCAACTCTGAAAAATGTAATTGTAAATTGAACACAGTACAAAGAAGCGCCTTGGGGTCTACCCTGCACACACGCTACCCTATTCTGACCTGACATTCCTCACAGATTTCAGGGATTACAGTGGAAATCCCTCTTCGCAGATTTTCTCGGAGACTTTCTCGGAGCACCTGATCGTTAAAATGCTTGGATTGGATCTCTGATATTGGAAAAGCTTGAGAAACCGTTTGTACTGTGCACTCAGCCGGGGAACACAAGTTCATTAAAAAAATCCATTAGCTTCGCTGCAACAGGATGAGCTGAAGAGTGAGAAAGCTCACTTTATAACAGCCTGTCATTCCTTCTACATTACTATTCTCTGCTTGAGATACTTTTCTGCATGGTTTAGCAACCGATTGACATGGATTTCACTGATCTTCCTGCAGGATGAGGAATGCCGAAGTCTACAGTATCAGTTGCCCAACGTGCCCGGCGGCTGGCTGGCAGCAGGAGGGAGCGTGACGGCTAAGGAGAGCGACGGAGTGCTCTGCTCTGTTTGCTTAAGCAGGGAGAAGCTGGAATGCACTGAGGATCGAGGAGAAAGCCCGAAGCGAGGTGCCCAGAAAGGCAACACACACACACACACACACACACACACACACACACACACACACACACACACACACACACACACACACACACACACACACACACACACACACACACACACACACACACACACACACACACACACACACACACACACACACACACACACTTTCTGTCCAGCTTCAGAATAGCCTTGGCTGTGAGGCGTCCACCCCGATGAAAACAGACGCACAGGTTTGGCAAACACACGCGCAAACATTTCAGAGTGGGGCTTTGCTTCGGCACACAGAGGTGTATTGTACACACACACACACAGTCCACAGAAAGGTTGTGTTGTCTTAAGTCTTAACAGTACTGTTTTTCTTTCTCTCAGAGGACCTGTGACCCACTCCTTGCTCAGCACAAACTGAGGCCTGGCTCTGTTTGCACATTATCGCTCTCCAAACACCGACTGGGGGAACTTCACAAGACACATGTGAATTCATAAAGAGTGTAATCTAAACACTGCACCTATCAAGCTTCAGCATACTACAGCCTTTCATGTTCTTCACTGCGCTCCTCTTCTCCTCTCGCTCCCATCCTCAGCCTCTTACAACAGCAGACGCCTACACGCTGCTGCGGTTTGTTTATACAGCACGATAAGGCCTTCGCTCTCCGGGCGTGGAGGTAGCTGATTGCAGGCCTCACCGATTTGAAACTTTTGTTTTCTCTGGCAAGCACAGACCTACACACACATAACAAAAAAATCTCAGTTTTTTTTTTACAGACACTTCACTTCGAGAGCTGACAAAGTCTCTGGAGTTGTTTTATGTCAAGGCACAGATGTGTTTAGACAAGCATCGTGACAGACTCTCAAGCCATGTGAGAAGAAACTGGAAAAACAATACGGGCTGTTAGATTGACTAATTCGGTGACAGGTAATAGTGGAGACTACCTTGTGAACAAAGTGAATCAGAAGCAGCAGCCTAGCGTTGCAACATGATTGATAGCGTGAAACTGGAACAAATTAAACCCAGTGTAAGCCCAGTAGGTAATAAATGCTCTTTCTTGACAAAACGGCAACCTTATATGCTTTAGTATTTGAAATATTGGGTGATGAAATTCAACTGAGAACATTTTCAAACAAAGTGGACATGCCAAAGATCAGGAATTACGTTTTAACAGACTCTGCAGCCACTTTGATTTCACTTAACAACCTCAGAAAGCAGAGAAGGAGAAGAGGAGGCGGTATGGATCCCAAAGACCCAGCGAGGAGTTCAAAGCATGTAAAGTGTTTTCATGCTAATATTTTCTTAAAGCATGAAAGGGAAACACTACCACGGCTATACATAATAAATGAACATTAATCATGCAGTCCTATCCTCACATTGTGATAGCTCCGAGGCAGAAAAATGCTTTAACCGGGGTTCAAATCCCTGTCATCCCTCTCCCCTGTGTGAGGATCAATGCCAGGCGGTCACATGCTAGTCACACCTCTCCAGAGTGTCAGTAATCTTTAATAATTAAGCCGGAGAATCAACAGCCGGGGCAGGATCGACTTTGTCATTTTGGGAAAAGGGGGATTAGAGGTTTTTGGGAGAGCACAAGTGCAAACAGCAGCCGGTCGGAGGGCACATGAGAGATAGACAGATGCACAAGTGGGTAGTCTTTCATATCAGTGCCTCCTTATTCTTCTTCTACTCCTGTATTAAAAGTTATCCTACTTATATGCTTGTCACCTTGTCTCCCTCTCTTTGCCTTTATCACACACCACCACCCTTTTTCAAAACACACCCTCAGGTGAGAGGAGATATTGATCAGCACTCAGACAGACAGAGCTCTGCATTTTAAAGCTGTCGGAGATACAGAGAGACTCCAGGTGTAAAGCTCACCTCGGGCTGTCACTCAGACGGGCAGCGTAAAACAGATAGTAATGTAGCCTGACACTGCACATGTAAACGACTACACCCGTCCCAACATTTGTCCTCTGGATGAAACAGAGGATACAGGACACTTTAGTACTTCAGAGTATTTATTAAAATAGGATAATTTGGACACTTAGTGCTTAAGAAAACTCTCTTTGAGACTACATTGTGCACATTCCAGCAGACACCATGGGGAACTTAAAAGTTATAACATATAATGAAGTTTATATATATGGTTTTATCTGCCTCAGACACTTTATAAGACCTTGAAGGGTTATTACACTGAAGCTATATGGAGAGAAGGGAAAACCATTAACAGCTCCACTGTGAACTTATCTTCAATGTTACAGGCGCAGCGTGAATACATACATAAGTTACAACTTTTAAAAAAAGGTATACAATACTTATAATTAGGCCCAATAAAGTGCATTATTTAGTATCAGAGACATATTCCTACAGGTATATAATAAGATTAATCTGCTAAGGTTACTGCTGAAACACTTTTTATTGGAATATTACAGTGAATTAGTGTTTGAGAATGAAAAAGATTAGCCGGTCTGATTAAATTAGACAAGTTGGTTCTTTTCAAATGCATTTCTTACCTCTTTATAAAAGAGGTACCCAAAACTCCACGCAGAGGGATGGTCCCAGGCCAATTTGAGTAATGAAAAGAGGCAATCATAGTTTCATTTGGAGCCCAAATGTGTCTGCGGCTGCCTCTGATTGAAAACGCTGCAAACGGGCAGGCATTACTCGGGTCAATAGATACAATTAATTTGCAGCATTAGCCAAACCATTATGATCTGCACTCTTGTTGTTTATGGCTCCCGATATTTAATAGGCTCAAGCAATGCAAGTACCAAATCTCATTTCAGACCCCCCCTCCCCAATGCTATAATCCTGTCATTTTCACCGTTTGAGGGTTTGACATGATGGGAGTCAAAGCTGAGCAGAGTGGCCAAAATCACCATCTGAATCCCATTGAAGCGCATGTGTTTGAAGAGGGGATGACTGATCTGCTGCTGAAGGAGAGAACCGCACAGTTCGTTCATTCAAAGGGAGGTGGAGGAAAAAAAAGGTGCTGCTTTCTGGAGAAACTTCAGAGATGATCAGAGGCATTAGGAAGAGCGGCTCTGTGAAAGAGGCTGATGAGTAATTCATATTTCTGCTGCTAACCAGAGAACACGTCACTGTTGCAGCGAGGAGAAAAGGCGTGTTCGTCCTAATGAGCAAAGGATGGCGATGAAAGTCAATATTTGACTTTTTGACAGTGAAATTATACAGTGGGTTTGATTGACGAAACATTGAAACCAAGCTTTTAGGTTGCGCATCTAATGGATATCCTCAAATCATTGTGGAAAGATAACTCGTGCGTAATTTCACAATTGATGTGCTTTTACACGTTTCCCCTTAGTTTTAGTTTCTAGAACTGAAAAGAGGAGCGTCAAAATAACACATTTCAATAAAAAATCTTCAAGCAATTTGATTTTAATTTTAAATGAGCAGAAGGGCTCCAACAATTGCCAGTTACAGAGTCTTTATCAGCCCTGCATCGTGCGTAATTGCACTATCCTGTGCCACACACAGAGCAGCCTGCATTAATAAGACTATACACAGAAACCTGTGCGCGCCTTCTCCAAACCAAGGTAGGCTAATATAAATACGCACAGAAAACTCCGTCTGCATACAAGGACCGTGACGCACCGATTGCGCACAGACCGGGACCAGGCAAGTTGTTCAAGCGGCAGCACCTGTGCTATGGTTCGGACCGTGGGGCTGTTCCTAAAGCTCCATGCTGGCTCACACGCACTGTACACACTCCTTTCTACCACACGGCCGCTTAACGCTGAGAGACTGGATGGCTCAACCTGTCTGACTCACACATCTACAAGGAAGTGGAAATATATATTTCATTCCGTAGAGAAGCTGCAAGTGTTGTTCACGAATAATAATAGCCTAATATTAATACAACTAATAATAGGCTAATAACAATAATAATAAAACACTTACCCAAATGATGACGTTTTGTATCCAAAATCTCCGTCTTTCAGATGTCACCAAGCATTCAGAAGAAGAAAACCAGGCTTTATTCTCCAGTAAACTTTATACAAATCCACAAAACTACTTTAAAATCCGTTAGTCCCCGAGCTTTGGGGAGAAGTTTGGCGACAGTGGAGGGAGAAAAAAGTCAGAAATCTCTCTCACGACTTGACAGCGAGAGTCCTCGGCTCGGGCACCGATGCAGAGAAAACCAACTTCTCCACTAAATCCTGTTCTACCCTGCGCGCTGCTGTCCAAAGTGTCCAAACCTCCAGAGCGCGTTCATCCTGCGGTGCGCCGGGAAGTGTGTATGTGTGTGTGTGTCGGACGCAGTGATAACGGACCCTCGCTCAGATCCAGCGCGGATGCCAGTCGGTGCGTTTCGTTGCCTCGGATCAACCAACTCGGACTGGTGGCTCTACTCCGCCGGCTGCCTGTGAAGTAGGAGCTGCCGTCAAGAGAGAGTTGCTAGGAGACAGGAGGAGTTCCGGTTTGAACCTTCAAAATAAAATACGAGCTGGTGAAGTAGTGACGCAATGCTTTGCCTTATACTGGAGAAATGCCAAATATATTTGAAGTGGAACATGTAGAAAACACAAAATACATTTTAACACACATTTAACTGAAACTTAAAATGGTGTATTGTATTTTGTAGAAAAGCAAAAATCATCACTAAATGTTTTGAATATATTTTTCAAAGCAATTTGTTGGGAGGCTACTGTTCGTTTACAAATGTGCAAAAAAAAAGTATGTGAAAAAAATGGAAAAAAATACGAAACTTAAGTGATTGCTTCAAAAATAAAAGCCATAGCTTAAATACAATAAAAGAAGCCTCATTCACATGCATCGCAGTTAAGCCATCAAGAGGAGTCGCATACTCGCATTGTGCCACGCAGCCATTCAGAACATAGCATCATTTTATTTTGAAGGCTCTTCTAGTTTTCATTGTGTGTGTGCGTGTGTTTCATACTTGACGCTCCTCTCCAGTCTCGGTCCGGGATGCCTCCTGCCTACGCGCTACGCCGGGACACACAGCAGCAGAGGGGGGGAGATCATATTTTTGTGCGGCGCTCCTCCGGGGCCGCTGGAGGCAGCAAGACACGGCTGCTCCAAACGCCACCTGACCCAGCTCCATTTTTTTGGTCCGGAAAAACTAAATCAAGCGAGGCGTTATTGCAGAAATCCAAAACTGCTTAATGAACATAAATACAGTTTTCAATCTTTACAGTCAGTGTTGGCCAATGTTGGGTGTGGGAACCACAAAGGGGACCTGGAGAAGCTCTAGGTGGTCTTAGCTTTTAATGCCAATCTGAGGAGTATATACACAGCTAGGTCCAGAGATATTGTGACTGAGGAAAGAACTCACATGTCTCTTTGGTTATCTTCATGGGCGCCATTAAAGGATAAAACCCAGGAGGACTCAGGGGCCCGGCGCTGCACAGGGGCCCTGGAACATGTCATGGATTAGAGATCGTGTGTGTGTGTGTGTGTGTGTGTGTGTGTGTGTGTGTGTGTGTGTGTGTGTGTGTGTGTGTGTGTCAGAGCTGTTTTTGAACTTTTCCCGTTATGGTGAAGCTCATCAGCCCCCAGAATATTAACAGACAATTAAAATCAGTGACCGAAGTTTCTAAATAAAACTTTTCTTGCACCATGTTTGTGGCTCTGATGGATAAGAGTGTGTGAAATTCAGATATGTTTTTCCAAAGGGATATGATAAATGTCTACACCTCTTTCTGTGAAATAATGGTTATAGTTTCTGTAACCAACAACGCTTAGAGGACAACTGGAAAGACTAAGATAAAAGTAGCTTTTAAGTCGAAAAAAAAAGAAGAATGAATCAAAAAGTTTAGGCATTTAAAAAAGTCTGGCCAACTTTGTCAAACATCATTCTATTTAATCGAATGATGTTCACCAAAAATAGTCTGATCGTTTCTCGTGACTAAAGCCTCTCTAATTGGTCAAATGCTGTCATTATTGAACATCTAGTAGTGAATAACTGTTACTGTTTTCAAATGCTACAGTAATTGTTATCAGTTAATTGCTCAAACTGTTAACGTGTAACTGATGTTATTGTTTCCAGTCAGACGGCCTTTTAGCAATCAGCTCAAAGCAATGTTTGACCAGTGAGCCCTAAAGAGTGCTGAGTGAACAGTAAATTACCATTAACCACCCGTTTATTCTGCCATATACTTCAGCCTAATTACTGCTGTCAGGACAGAGGTGATAGCTGCTTTAAACAACACCAATTACCCTCATCTCTTAAATTGTGTTTTGAGAAGGCAACTTTATGATGCCATAAAGCGGAGCAGCCCTCTGCTAAGGGACCGAGGAGCTGGTGGAGTGTGCCGTCATCCGTCTGTGTTTGTCCAGGAGAGTTTGTCCCTCACTATGAGCTGTGACAATCCACGTCAACACGTCATAAATAACAATACAAGGAAGAGCATTGTCAAGTGGAGAGATCTATTTATTTAATAAAACTTTAAATTGAAATTCTTAGAGTTTTTAATAGTTTTTCAGACAAAACGAATACCCGACATTGGGCTCCGGGAACTTGTGATGAGCATTTATTTTTACTCTTTTATAGACTGAACCAGTAAACAGGACACCTCATATATGTTTATGAGGTGTGACAAGTTCAGTTAAAGAATGATTTTCTCTTCTCTACTGTTTCATTTGAATAGTTTTAGGAGGCCTGATGAGGAAAGGTAAAGTACATTTAGTCATGTAGTCAAAAGCAAAGTATAGAAAAAAGGCTGAAAATGAGATGTTCTTATTTTAGAGCCAGTTAGCCATCCCCTCAACCTATTGGGTTCACCTGGTTCATTTCTTGGACTGTGGTGGAGGGCTGGCCTCTAGGTTGAGCCCAAATGGTTCATCAGTTAATCATTAAGGTGGTACCTTCCAGTTTCACTAATAAAAATAAATAGCACAATGGAAATGTATTCATATTTACAGATTAGTTCATTTAAATGATATAATTTGGCAAACATGAGGCGTCCAAATGCTTTTTTTAGACATCCTCATCGGTGCAGCCATTCAGCTCATTCAACAACGCTGCCATAAGTGCTCTTAATGTACGGTAAATTCCTTCAAACACATCACACTACCTACAGGTGATGGTGCTTCAACCTCATGGGAAAGTCAAATGGAGAAACAACAAGCAGTTCTCATTAAAGCAAGTGAAGAAGAGGAGAGCAGAGTGATGATGAAGGCCAGGCTCGCTGACCCTTTGGACTACAGTGATCTGTGAGAACGAGGGAGGGGGGGGAGGGGCGAACAAAAGCCAGCCGGTCAGGAGGAGAGTTCATACAGATGGTGAGAATGCTCAGACAGATCGAGCACGCACACACACACACACACACACACACACACACACACACACACACACACACACACACACCTCCTCTCTGCACCCCCTCAACACCCTTACTTTTAATCAACACACTCACATACACACATTCCTCANCACTCCCTAGATTCTTACTAACATCAAAAGCACGCTACAACCAAGGGGCTAGAAAAGGAAGAATAGGCCAAGAGAGAAGAGATGAGGTTCAGGAAGAGCCAGGAGATCTGCATCTGCATGTGTGTGTGGTGTGTGCTGTGTGTGTTGTGGTGTGTGTGTGTGTGTGTGTGTGTGTTTTCTGTGTGTTTGTGTGTTTGTCAATAACATCGTCACGTAGCGCCAGCAGGGTGATCAAACAGGCTGGGGGATGGCGGGTGGGGGGGTTTGAAAATGTAATTAAGGACACTGGCCTAGTGGCAGTGGTGGAAGAAATTAATAGATTTACTCGATTACTGATTAGGTGCGTCCTATCATGCTATATTTGAAATGTATATGGGTAGGGCCATACCGTATATAAACTATGCTCTGTGAAGTTTGTTTCAAAATACCAAACAGATCACCCACCTGTAGCCATGCCTCATTACTGCCCTCAAAACCCCTCTTGAAGCGCGCGTGTGCACTTTTAGAGAAACGCAGGATGTGCAGGTCCTTAGCTTGAAAAAAATAGCATAAAGAGGAAGCGGAGACTAATGCCTGATCAGAATTCTACCGGAGATAAAGTTAAAATTCAGGTTGTGCATAAAACGCCATCCTGTTTAAACCACCTCAAGGAATTATTCTGCAATAGTAGGGACCCTCAAAGTGCTTTTTCTCTGCAGGTTTATCACAAGGTGAGTTCTTTTTTATTCCTGCATTTTTAACACAGCTGGAAAATCTCATACAGGTGCTCTGGTGTAGCGGCGTGGGGGGCCTGCTAATGCTAAACAATACGCTCCAAAACACGTCAGGCATGGTTCTGGATAGCCAATTTCTGTGGGTCCGCGCCGAATTGACGCGTTCAGATGGGAATCTTATCCGCTTGTGACACCCGTTTTAAAAAGATTGGGTATGGGAGGAAAAGAGAGGAGGGCCGTTTATTTCTGACGCTCGTGGAGTTCCCCGACGCCCACCGGGCGACACATATTTATGTATAAAAGATACCACAAGTGGATATAGGTCCACTTTAAAGCTGGACCTAATCATGCTATATTGAATAATATAGTGTATGACCAATACCTATATAAGGCATATTTAATACTTTTATTTCAAATACCATATCATTTCGGCTCAATTTAACACTGTCTTTTCATGGGCTGATTCTGTGGGAACAGCACCATCTACAGGCCTGGCATATGTACTACAGCGTCTCCAGCGCTTTCGAACGGCAATGTCCGTGGCTGTCTCCTCCTGATTGGTGGAGTTGGCCCAATAGCCGTAGCGCCACTTCTGTGACGTCATAGAAGTGTTCAAATCTGGATCAGTCTGTATCAGATCCGTTGCAGCCCCTTTTTAAGAGATTTGGGTATGGAGGAAAATAGAGAGGGTTGTGTTTTCTGACACTTGGTGAGTTCCCTGGAACACCGGGGACACATATTCATGTATAAAAGATGTACAAAAGTGCATTTTGCATGATAGGTCCCCTTTAAATAACCATTTGAGGTACAATGAGTACTTGTTTCTGTGTCAATTTATGCTTCTACTCCAACAGTTTAAGGGAAATTATTTTAAAAAACACTTTTTTTACAGGTTAAATTGCTAATTACTTCATAGATTGAGATTTTTACGCACAACATATGAATAACTTTTAAAATATGATATTTTGCTGTAAATAAACCATCCCAAATTATATTGACAGACCTAAAACAATGAGTGGGGTGATATATAAATTGGTATCAGTTCTGCTTATTCTTAAAGTACTTTTTTTGTGTAAAACATATCACGGTTCTTGCTTCAAAGATGTAAGGATTGTCTGCTTTTCCCTTTAAAATATTTTAACTTGTTTTTTCAAATTTTTCAAAAGGATCTGAATAATTCTTCCACCACTGGTTATTGGGGAATAAAGTGGTGCCGATT